CTCTAGGTTTGTGAAGTTCTCTATTAGTATCCCTTTCAATGAACTTTCTACCCCTATCTCTTTCTTGACCTCCCCTTTAAGGCCAATACCTCTGATATTTGCCCTTTTGAGGGAATTTTTCTAGATCCTATAGTCATGCTTCATTTTTTCATTCTTTTTTTTTCCTTTAGTCTCCTTTGACTGTGTATTTTCAAACAGATTGCCTTCAAGCTCACTGATTCTTTCTTCTACTAAATCCATTCTGCTATTAAAGAACTCTGATGCATTTTTCAGTATGTGAATTGTATTTTTAAGCTCTCGAATTTCTGCTTGTTTGTACTTATTTCAATCTCTCTTAAATTTATCTGATAGAATTCTAAATTTATTCCCTGTGTTATCCTGAATTTCTTTGAATTTCCTCAACACAGCTATTTTGAATTATCTGTCTGAAAAGTCACATATCTCTGTTTCTCCAGGATTGGTCCCTGGTATCTTATTTAGTTCATTTGTTGAGGTCATGTTTTGTTGGATGGTGTTAATGCCTGTAGATGTTCTTTGCTGTCTGGGCACTGAAGAATATGGTATTTATTGTAGTTTTCACTGTATGGCCTCATCTATAGCCATCCTTCTTGATAATGCTTTCTAGATATTTGAAAAGACTTGAGTGTTGTGATCTAATCTGTTTCTGCTTTAAGAGGCACCCCAAGCTCCATAACCCTGTGGTGCTTGCAGACTCATAGAGGTACCATCTTGATGGCCTTAAACAAGATCCAGGAGAATTCTCTGAATTACCAGGCAGAGACTTTTGTTCTCTTCCCTTACATTCTTCCAGACATACAGAGTTTCTTTCTCTCTCTCTCTGTTCTGAGCCACCTACATCTGGGGTCAGAGTGACACAAGCAACACTGTGTCATACCACCAGTATGACTGCATGGGGCCAGAGCTGATGCCAGCACAGCCTTGGTTGTTACCCAAGTCCTGCTATAACCACTCCCTGACTACTGCTTATGTTTTCTCAAGGTCCTGGGGCTCTACAATCAGCTGTTGGAAAAGCCAGCCAGGCCTATATCCTTCCCTTGAGTGCGGCAAGGTCCTCCAGGCCCCATGTGAGTTCAAAAGTGCTGTCCAGGAATCAGGAACTTCAGTCAAAAACCTTAGAAGTCTACCTGGTATTCTACTGTAATGTGGCTGAGCTGGCACTCAAACCACAAGACACAGTCCTTGTCAGTCTTCCTTCCCCTTTCCAAAGACAGAGGAGCCTCACCCCATAGCCAGAGCCACACCTGGCCAGGAGGAGTACTGTCAGGCTATCACTGATGTTTGCTTAAGGCTTAAGGTCTCCTAAGACAGGCTGTGATGAATACTGCCTGGCCAGGGACTCACCCTTCAGGGTAGTGACCTCCCCTATGGCCCAGGACAGGTTCAGAAATGCTGTCCAAGAGTCAAGTCCTGACATAGGGGACCCCAAGAGCCCACTTGGTGCTCTAACCCCCATGGCAGAGTTGGTACGTGAAGCCAGCAAGTCTCAGAGGCTCAACAAGCCCTGAATGTAGCACCTGAGTATCACTGCTGGTTATTCAAGGCTATTATTCAAGGCTATTATTCAGTTATTCAGTTGGCACGTGATGAATGCTGGCAGGACTGGATCCTTTCCTTCCCGACAGTGAGTTCCCTCCTGATCTAGAGTGTGTCTAGAAATGTGGCCTGAGAGGTAGGGCCTGGAACAGGGGTTTCACGAGTCTGACCAGTGCCCTATCCTGTGGTGGCTTAGCTGGCATCCAAGATGCAAGACAAAGTCTGTCCCACTCTTCCACTTCCTCTCCTCCAGCAAAAGGTGTTTCTTTTGGAGCCACCAGCTGTGCAGCCTGCGATTAACGGAAGGGTGATGCCAACACTCCCTTGACTGCCCCAGGTGGTGTTTCAGTGTGTCGTGTGTCCCCACAGTCTACTGTCTCTGGGCCTAGTTTCACCATAGGACTCACCCAAGAGGTTTTTTTTGTTTTTGTTTTTGTTTTTTGTTTTTTTGAGATGGAGTCTTACTCTATCATCTATCATCTAGGCTGGAGTGCAGTGGCATGATCTCGGCTCACTGCAACCTCTGCCCTCTGAGTTCAAGCGATTCTCCTGCCTCAGCCTCCCGAGTAGCTGGGATTACAGGTGCCGGCCACCACACCCGACTACTTTTTTGTATTTTTAGTAGAGACAGGGTTTCACCTTCTTGGCCAGGCTGGTCTTGAACTCCTGACCTCGTGATCCACCCTCCTTGGCCTCCCAAAGTGCTGGGATTACAGGCGTGAGCCACCGTGCCCAGCCGAGTTGCAATTCTTATGGCCGAGATTGCCTTTCAAGTTTACCTAGAAACCAAGAGCACTTTGGCCCTAAGTGGTGAGATTTGCAGGCACTCAAGTTCAGACCCCTAGGATTGGTAATTTCCCTCTGGCTAGGGATGGTTTAAATGCTCCCTGTGTGGGTGGGCATCAGCTGAGTTTGGTCTGAAATTCCTTTCTGCTTTAACAGAACAGCACTGAGTTCAATGCCTTATAACTGCTGTCCTCTCCCTCACCCAGTGCCCACAGATGCTCTCTGTACCAGGCTGCAGCCACCAGGGGTGGGAAAGGGGTAGTGTCGTAGATTCGTAACTGCTTTTTCTATCTCTTCAGTGCCTCTTTCAGCAATATGAACTTAAAAACAGGTATTGTGAGTGTTCACCTGATTTTCGGTTCTATGAAGGTAATTTTTTCTGCGTAATGTTAGTTGTTAACTGGTGTCCTTGTGGGGGTGGGGGAGTAGGGACGATTGGTACGCTTTCTATTCCACTATCTTGCTTCTCCTCTGTATCTTAATTTATATTTTAAAGGTAATGTATTTAAAGACTGAGTAAGGGTAAGCTCTTTTGTGTTTAAAAGACATTTTATTTTATATGCTTTGCCTAATTTTTAATAAATTGTTAGCCATTTTCTTATTAATTGGTTTAAGAGCTCTTTACATATTAAACAGATAAGCTTTAATATTTCTACAAATATTCATTCCCAGGTATTTTTCTTTTAATTACATTTTTAGATGTATAGAATTTTTTTCAACACAGTCAAATGTATCAGTCTTTCTTTTTTTTTTTTAAGTTGTAGGGTACATGTGCATAACGTGCAGGTTTGTTACATATGTATACTTGTGCCATGTTGGTGTGCTGCACCCATCAACTCGTCATTTACATCAGGTATAACTCCCAATGCAATCCCTCCCCCCTGCCCCCTCCCCATGATAGGCCCCGGTGTGTGATGTTCCCCTTCCTTTTGGCTTCTGGGTTTTGTGTTTTGCAGCCCTTCCTCCAAGACTATAAAAAAACTCACCCCTCATTTTCTCTTCTAGTATGTATATGGTTTTATTTTTATGAATTTCTGTATTCGATCCATATAAAACGTATGTTTTTACATGGATTTACACATTTTGAAGTCAAACCCTTTGTGAGTACATTTCAATGAAAAGTGACTTTAATATGTTTTAATAAAAAATGATTGTTGTAGGCCATGTGTTGGGAAGTTTGGAAAAATTAACAGTTAAAGGAGGATGAGGACTGAAAAACTAGAGGAAAAGGAAAAGTAAACTGCAAAGAAATGTTGCAAGAGTAGAACTGCAATGCACTAGACACATGCTAAGGAACCACTACTCCTTGTCAGTCAACTGCAAAATAGAAAAATAATTAGGATTGCATATGGTGGAGTAAACTGCATGTTTTAATACTGCTGTGCTTGTCTGAGATTTGATACATTCCTTAATAATTTCTAAACTCCTCAGTATACAAAAATATTAGATCAGAAACCTTTTGGGGGTTTCTTTCTTTGCAATATTTGGCCCATGTTTTTAGAAAGGGATAATCCTAATACATCAACTTTAAGTTTACTTTCTCTGCAGACTTAGCCTAAAGACTTCCATATCCTTTTCTAGAAGTATTCCTCTCATAAAGTTTTCTCAACTGAGAGTATAGACAAAATAACCTAAGTGACTCAATTGACTCATTTTAAGGATTAGACATACACTATTATATATCTGAATATCTAAGGTAATAAACTAAAATAGATCTATAAATACACACTTACAGAAAAGAATTAGCATAGCATACCTTATGCTACTATCCTTAGGTAGGCCTACTTGAAGTTTGACACTTGGCTGGCATCTAGGAACTTGGATTTATAGAAGATTCCCAGAATTGATGAGTGACTCACTGTACCTAAACTGTTTGTGCAAATAATGGTGATTTATGCCAAACACCTGATTTCCTTCTAGGGATCTGGAATTTTGGTATGTGCTAGGCAGAATGTGCCCATGACTGACTACTGATAAAAAATGGGAACTCTTATGCCCAGGGGGACTTCCCTGGTAGACATTTCACATGTATCATGATAAGTAGCTGGAGGAAATAAGCTTGTTCCATGTGACCCCATTGGGAGAGGAATCTTGCCAGCTTGGACATGGATCCTCCAGACTTCACCCTATACACATTTTCCACTTGTTGATCCTGCTTTATATCCATTTACTCTAATAAATCATAGGTATAAGTACAACTATACACTGAGTTCTGTGAATCCTCCTAGCAAATACACAAATCACAGTAAACATTAATGCAATGTTTAGATATAAAACTTTAGAACCTGTAAAAATTCAAAAATTAGTAAAAAATGTTTAATACTCTTCTTAGATATAAGCTTTATACTTCAGAGTAAGTGGTTTTAGCTATAAATCAAAGGATAGTCTTTAGATGTACGTAACATAGCACAGTTGCAACTTAGCCTTGTGGGTCATAATTGTACATACAAATAGTGTGTGCAATTTAACACAGTAATAAAAAATCCATTATTAACTATGTAGGATAATACGGAATTTATTTAAATGGATTCTTGGCTTAGAATGCTAAAGGTATTAATCTTTCTTCACATGAAATAAACTGTGTATAATTAATCATTGCTCCATGATTAATTGTGCTCATTTCATGAGTTAAAAAAGTAAATACATTAAAAGTGACTTACCTTTTAATCTTGGCCTTTTCAGCCTTTTCTTCTTCATCACATTTCTTGGCATTCCTATTAAGTTCTTTTGCAGCAAACTTCAAGTTAAATAACGGCTCTGAAAAGAGCCATTAAGGTTAAGGCTATTCAAAAAGTTATTTCCCCAACATAACTACCTGCAAAGAAGATGTTAAAATTGTAAAACATATGAGATAAGATTAGTATTAACCAACTAGTCACAATGCTTTTGAGGAACTGGAACAATTTCTTTATTCTACGCTTGTTTTCTGTTAAAAAAACCAAATTAATAAAAACCATTGATTATAAGGGGAGAAATTACTGTGGAGAAACCTGGCAGATACCACTTAACCAAGGTTAACATCACCAGTGATAAAATATTTCAGTATAATTTACATTCTGAAATGATAAACTGAGAGGGGAATAGCATCATTTCTATGGCGTGGTTGCCAAAAACATAACTTTAATATACTCAAGAGAAAACATGAGACAATCCTGAACTGAGAGACATTTGATATAACAGACTAGCATACTTTTCAAGTGTCAAATTCATGAAAAGCAAGGAAAGACTGAGGAAGCAGTCACAGACTGGAGGAGACTAAGGAGATATGGCAACTAAATGCAATGTAGGATCCTGGAATAGAAAGAGGATGTTAATGGAAATACTGGTAAATCCAAATAAGATCTGTGGTTTTATTATTTATCTTGTAGAGATGCTGATTTCCTTATGTTGATAATTATACTATGGTTCTTTAAGACATTAACATTAGCAAAAGCTTGGTAGAAGGTATACAAGGACTTGCTGTACTATTTTTACAACTTTTCTTTAAATCTAAAATTATTTTAAAACTTTTTAATAAAAAAAGAAAAAATCATTTAAAAAACTACGAATAAAAGCACTCTCATAAATAAAACCAAAATGAATACCATAAATCTTTCATTTTCATGTCACAAAAATAAATATGAAGTATATGCACATATATATGACAAAGTGCTATGAATTATTAACAAACCAACCAGATTATGTAATGACTAAATTACTAAGGTATTGGTTTAAAGGGCTGGCTTTTGAATTGATTGTATCATTATTAGAAAACAAGAATGGCTTGCTTAATTTACCAAAGCTAAATAATAAATTAAGCTATCTTGTTCATCTCTCAGTTGCTTCATGGCTCTAATTCAATTCCTAAAGATTCTATGTATTTTATGACCTCTGAAAAAAGGTAAATGACCTCTGAAAAAAGGTCAAATGTACTTTTTAAACTTTGTTTCTGTGTTTCTTTAGGACATTTACAAAAATGATGGAAGGTTCCTTTTTATTTATTTATTTATTTTTTTTTTTTGAAAGTGCAAACACATGATACAATTTAAAGAGGTTAACTTTTGGATTGATAATATTGCTATTAGAAAACAAGAATGGTTTCTTAATTTATCAAAACTGAAGTTATCTTGTTCATCTTGTTCATTTCTCACTGGCTTCATGGCTTTAATTCAATGCCTTATTTATGGATAATGACAGGAATAAATTTACTGCCCTGAGTAGTTTCCAGGCTATAAATTCTAGATATACCTAGAATTGTAAATAAAATAAGTGCATATGTATACATTTCTGGGTAATTTTAATATAAAATATAGCTTAAATTTGTAAGATTTAACAATTTCAGCTTGGTGACTAAGTTATATGTCCTTATATATAAACACACATATATGTATATGTACACACACACACACGGTTTGCCAAGGTTTCTCAATTTGGGGCCAGATAATTCTCTGTGGGGCTGTCCTATAAATTCTAGGAAATTTAGCAGCATCCCTGGCCTTTATCCAGTAGATGTCAGAAGCACCTGCTCCTCTCAGTTGTTAACAACCAATAACATCTCCAAACATTGCCAAAAGTCACTTGGAGTGGGGGAGGGAAAATCCAACTCTGTTGAAAATCATCACTGATATAGATGAAATATCATTTTTCCTTTCTTTGTCCTCATTTTCTAAATTATCTCCCCAATATAATTGCTGTCTCTAGAAAAAGTCACTAAAGTTAAAAGCTGAATTATGATACTGACAGAGCAGGAGCACCAACATCTCAGACAAATACTGCCACTTTAAGTTCTAGCTCCCTTTCTAGCCTCATGCATTTCAAGGAAATCACTTCTAACTACAACCAGAAAGAGTAGACAGTAAAACACAGACAAGACAGCTTGGGCACAGAGGGAGGTCGGGGGAAAGTCTCTTCATAACTGTCAAACTTCACCCTCATACAATGGGCTCCAGTAAAACAGTGGCCCTTAATAAGCACATTTCTTTCCCTTCAGGTACACTAAGATAGGGAAGCTAAAAGCAGACTCTGGGGTATGCCTGCAGCTGCAAAAGGACATATAGGAACAGACACAAAATTCTCCCTCCCAGATAAACACAACAAAGAGACAAGAAGGAGTCCGAGCCTCTGACAAACTCTCCCACCCTAAATCCTTAAAAAACTCTTAATCTATAAGAGTTTAAGTTTAACCTAACTCAGCCAGAAGCCCCTCTTATGTTTGTTTTCTCTAAAATAAACCTGTCCTTGACTGTCAAGCCACCTTTCATGTTTCTTTCCTCTTTCTTTAATTCTTACATTTGGTGCCAAAACCTAGGATGGGTGTTGGGGGCACAGGCTGTCTTGCAACCCAGGAAGCAGTGGGTAATGGCAGCTCATCCTGAGTTAACTCCTGGATCCTGAGGGTCTCTGGTCGCCCACCCCACCTTTACTCTCACTTCACTTTTTGAGCGATTTGCATGAGGAGGACAACTAACCTGAAGGGAACTGTGAGGCTCGGGCCTGGGCTACTCCCCAGTGGGCTCTCAAAACCCTCAGGTCTCAGGAATCCACCTCTGACCACACACAATGGGTATTTCACTCCCTAACCCTTGCTCCCTCTTCCTCCCTCTTCTTTCTCTCTCTCTCTCTTCCTTGCGTGGCTCCAGTCTGGGAGGCCCTTTGCCAATTCCAACCAGAATATCCAACATCAGACACTAATTCAGCAGACTGATAAGATCTGCCTTCTCCTAACTCTTTCCCAGTACTGGAGAAAGTCTGGCTTGCCATCCAGGTCCTCGGAGGACTAATGGGACTAAGCTAGAGGAAATCTTGGGGATGCCCACTTCCTTCTCAGCTTAACCATCCTCTTTCAGAAAGAGAATTCCGAGTCTCTGTCTTTTGTCTGGGGACATCTAGAACAAAACAGACACCCTCGGCTTCCTCTTACCAGTCCACATGGGTGCCAAACAATCCGCATTCCTACATCCTCCCCATGGGGCTGTTGTCTTCGCAACCTCAACAAACTTGGCTTACAGGGGACCCTAAATCCAAAGCATTTAATTTTCTACTGCAACATGGCCCGGCCCCAATACAGACTAGATAATAACAGCTGATGGCCCAAAAACAGCAGCTTTAACTTTCAAATTCTCAGGCACCTTAACAACTTTATCATCAGAAACAGCAAATGACAAGAGGTTCCCCATATTCAGGCTTTCTTCTACCTTAAATCCTGCCTCTCCTCTTCTCCACCCCTTCAAAAACTATTCCAACCAGTCAAACCTCTTCTGTCATTCTCCCTCTATGGGAAGTGGCTATGGTAAAAGGTATTGCTTGGGTTCATGTCCCCTTCTCTATGTCTGATTTGTGGCAGATTGAACAGCTTCTGGGATCTTTCTTTAAAAATCCCTCTCATTATTGTAGGGAATTCCTGCACATAACCCAATCCTTTAATTTAAGTTGGCATAACATTTTTAAAATTCCAACCTCTACTCTCACCCTTAATAAAAAAGAGTGCTGAGCTTAATTAAAATGGATATCCAAGCTATAAGTATATTTAAAAGGCCCTTATGTTTTTCTCTTCATAAATCTTGTTTTCCTGAAAAAGTTTTTTTTTTTTTTTTTTTTTCCCAGTTGAAATTACTTTTCTCCACTCTGTCTTGCCAGTCTTGGTGCATGCATAAAAGACCCCAGAATAACTTCTGGTGGCCTGGGACTCCTTGGGAAAACAGAAAAGGCACCACAAATCCCATTTTGGGAAAAAATCTCTGTTTTCCTTATGGAACCCCTGGAATTAGAGGTGAATAAGTGCCTCTCAAAATCTGTCTTTGTCTTCCAGCTATGCTTGTTTATTAGGCCCTGAAAATTGTTTTCCTAGCCCTGTTCTTAAAGGGCCTCACCCAGAGGCCAATAATCCAGTTAGAAAATTAGCAAATGTAAATCTCATAACTACTGGATCTTCTTCTGGTTGTCTGTGTGGCTATATACGTGTTATGTGTGCAATGTCTATTAAAAAGAGCTCTAATTAATTGATTGGGCTAAGAATAATAAGCGGCTAAATCAAATATTTTTAAGCAAAAAGTAAAAGCTGTGGTAACTTTCAGTTCATGTAACTTTAATATTTAAAAATAAAAACAGTCTTAGGAATTATTGGTAAAATACCAATGTCCTTAAGGTGTAAAAATGTGGTCTACATTATGCAAGTCAAATACTAGGTTTGCTAAATGTTTTAAGGTTGTAAATTGCTTCTTTAGTCTTTAAAAACTGTCAACTTCCCTGCTTCACAATTGATAAGGCCAGAAACATATGGAAGATGGAAGTAACCATGCCCCTAACTATGCTGGAAGAAGTCAAACTTCATCTGCATTTAGCACATAATTAAAAAAAAAAAAAAAAAAAAAACAGGTTTTACATTAAAGTTGAAAATTGCTAAAAGTTACCATTATAAGATGTAATTAAAACTACTGAACATGGATTTGCACACAAGGTATATAAAAACAGTAAAAAGTGTTTTTAGTTAAAAATTATAAGAAGGCATAAAAATGTACATTTTGCTTAAGAATAAAAACTTGTCTTAAAATTAAATAAAATGGATGGTTTAAGCAAATTGTAAAAACATTGTTAAAAATTAATCCTGCAAAGAAAACTGTGTAAACATATTAACTAAATTCAAAGGGGTATTATATGTTTTTATTTCTGTAAATTAAACACTAAAAGCACCACAAGGTTTTCTTAAAATGCTAATATACTCTTTAGCAAAACTTGTCAAGGGTTATAATGGGTATGTAAAAATCTTACAAACTGGTTAAAATTAAATAAAATTGTCTAGAAGTTTTCATTAAAATTAGGGTTAACATTAACAGCAAACTAATGTAAGGGTAAAATTTAACTTTCTCTCTTAAACAGAATTTTCATGTAATACAAAAGGTTAATAAATGACTTTTGCTTTTCCAAATTTTTAACTCATCATTTTGGCAAAACAAAACCAAACAAACAAACAGAAAACTTATGGTAATCTAAAATTATATTTTAATATCAAGCATTTTAAATTTTAAACATATTTAACGGGCTTTTCAAAATCAAACTTTAGTCTCAAAATTGTCTTTCCTAACCCCTGCAGCATCTGGGAAAAAAGGTAAACAGGATTATTTAACATGTTTAGGTACATAAAATTGCCAAAATAATGTCTAATAGGTTATATTTTAGGGGATAGTATTAACATTTGTTCCGAAACTGTATGGAATGTCTAAGGTTCTAGTGTCTAAATATGTGCTATTAATCACAGTTACGGTTGTTATGTTGAGTTATTGTAAATCACAAAAATGACCAAATTTCTTTGTCAGTTGTGTTTCTAACTGTATCCAACCTGGACGTTTTGTTATTTACAGACAACTGTTATTTTGTTTTAATTCTCTTCTAAAGATGTTTTTTAATGAAGCTGCGGAACAAGTGCTCTCAAATTTGGGCTTCTCATAACAAAAAATATACAGAACTCATGAAAAGCTAAAATGTTTATAAATCTCAAGCAAAACAAAAGTTAATAAAATGGACT